AGAATTACGAGAAGGGATAGGAACCGTGAAATTTGAAATCTAGAGGGATATGTCGATAATGATGGAGAAGTTTGTGCTGATGATGAAAAAGTGGGATGAACAGGTACGTGATAGGAAGGAAAAGGAACTAGTAAGGACGAAGGCACACGGTCGTAGGCTTGAAATGCCAGTTTTTTACGGTGTGAATCCCAGTAGCTGGATATTTAAAGTAGAGAGATATTTCACTATGAATCAATTTTATAATTGGGAGAACTTGGAGGCCGCGGTTGTATGATTTGAAGGTGAGGCATTGGCCTGATATCAATGGTATCAGAGCAGGCACAACGTCTCCCGTTTGCAATCGAGCGGCATGGAGGTGACGCTAACATAGCAGTGTTCGTCTGGGACTAGTTATGGGCTAGTGTAAAGCGAGTTCGACGAGGGACGCAAGATCGCAGAGCGTGGTGGATTTTCATAATTCTCATTACAAGGTATGAGACTTGAATCCTACATCGAAAGTATATTCAAAGTGTGGTTTATTAGGCTATCCAACTTCAACAGCTAGCTTTTGAGGTGTGGCTCTATCACGATCTATATTAATGGTATCAAAATAGGCACCACGTCTCCCGATTGTAATCAAGCAGTGAAGATAGTGATACCGGCAAAGTAGTGTTCGTCCTGGACTAAGTCCCTGTTTGGTAGAGTTTAAAATTAGATTTTTAGTAGATTGTGATTGAAATTTTTGAAATTTGTGGTTGAAAAGCTGTGAGACCTATGAAAAATATGGTTAATATTGATTGTTTGATTTTGACTTGAATTTAAATATGATTTTAATCTGAAACAAACAAGACCTAATTTAACACGACACTAAAAAATTGCATCAGCAACTAACATGATCTAGTTCATTATCTCGCCAAAAATGGTTGCCAATTCAACAGCAAGATAGAATTGGACAATATTACATTAAATAAATATAAAATAAGGGTGTTTTTGATGTATATTATTAAGGAAAGAATGTATTTTAAATAGTGATAAGATGTAAAATATGTCGTTAAAAAGTAAAGAAAAATTATTGATGTGATGGAAAATATTATTTTATTAAAAAATGTGCGGTTAAAAATGAGTTTTGAAATAATGTATTTTGAAATAATGTGGGTTAAATAGGGCGTGCCTTTTCATTTAATAAAATTGTTTAGTCCATTGAATGGAGAGGAATTAAGCCCATGTTTGGTGATATTTTATTTAGGAAAAACATTGTTTTGAATAATGAATTTTTGGAAAAGGTGTGACTAAAAAGTAAGAGAAATTTTGGATTTATATGTAAAATATTTTATTATATAAATGTGTGACTGAAAATGAGACCATGCTAGTTATACAACCGAGGTTGACAACCACTCACATGGAGGGTCCGCTTTTTTTTTTGAATTGTTTAAACATACGGACCCCGCACACGGCACACATGTGAGAAATTGTCAACCTAGATTGTCAATCTCGGTTGTACAAATAGCATTTTTCTAATAATTTTGGTTTATTAGTTGGTGTAATTTTTACAAATTGTTGAATTGTGATTCGCCATGTCAAAGAATAAATAACATGGTTAAATAGGGTCTGTTTTGACTATATGCAAGAAGAAAAATGACAGCTTGCAACCTAACCCTTTATATGCAGAGTCTTGAATTTTATTAGGGCTGAAAAACTGCTAAGTGCTAACAGCAACTTGAGGGTTTGATTTGGGACTCCGTTGATATTTTTAAAGATATTTTCCTCGAAAAAACAATAAAAAATTGGTTGGGGGTTGGGTGCGAAAAATAATACAGTTGCTTGTTTCAGTTTCTATCACCTTTTCCGCCTTGTGCCAGTCTTTGCCGTCTATTAATTGTTCGGTTTCCATCTTGGCAAAGAGATGCTATACCCTAGTTTGATTCCCCATTTGTTTGAAAATTCTTTTTTTTTTTTTTAACTTATTTTCAATTACTTATTATCTTATAAAATACTCGTAAATTAAATTTATTTTTTATTTTTAATCATAAATTCTCTTAAAAATCACTATTACAAAATTCAAATTTTTTTTTTCCATAAAATAAGGCTCAAACAGGGATAAAATATTTCGATTTTCCATCATGTATTTATTCCCTATATGGTAGGGATTAAAATTTAGATTTTAATTTAAATTAAAGTCAACAATTAATTTTAATCACATACTTCATCAATTTTTATTAAAATCTACTAAAAATTCGATTTTAATATCTACCAAACAGGGGCAAAGATCCGTTTGGTAGAAATTAAAATCTAGATTTCAATTTAAGTTAAAATCAACAATTAATTTTAACTACATATTTTATGAGATTCACAACTTTTTAATTACACATTTCATCAACTTTTATTAAAATTTACTAAAAATCTGATTTTTAGTCCCTATTATTTGAAATTTTAATTGTTAGAATAGTGTTTCTTTGATAAATGTGTAAATAATTTTTTTTTTTTTT